CTCGTAGCTGGACATGAAAATGCCCGAAAATTGCAGTTTTGGTGGTTCAAGGGAGGCACGAGGGTCGCTGCAGGAGCATACATAGAAACAGGATTTTCTGGGTTTGGGCGACCATTGAGCATCCTGGCCATTTTTGGGGGTCGCTCATAGGTGGTACAAAGGTCGCAGCCCGGTGTAAAGGGGGCCTTTTAGCGAAATCAATGCAGGAGCTTAGTGGTCTCGCAGACCTAACGCTGATCTGTGATGGCTTTCAGTCAGAAAGTGGGCGTCGTTCAGAGCAAGAACCCAAACACCTTTCTATATATTCTTCAAGGCTTTCGGGCAATAATGTCCGCTCTATAGGATGTAATCGACCCTTTGTATACCGCGAAGAAAAAAAGTCTGCCCTTTCAGGTGCCCATAGTTGCGACAGGATAAAAGAGCGAGACATTTTGAAAAGTGGTGTGTCTCACAGACACCAGCCAGTGACGATGACAAGAAATCCCCCTCCCCCTCCCAAGCACTCTCGAGTCACGTGGTATCGTCGTGTTGGGTTTTTTTTAAAATTACGCCTGCATATGAAATGTGGAGTACCGTGGCTCGTGGCTTGGAGCATTGAATTCGTGGTCTGCGGGTAATTCTGCAGGTTGTGGGTTCCGACTCCGGCCTGGGGTTATGATGCGTGTGCCCTTGGGAAAGGCGCTTTGTTAGTCATTGCTTCTTCCAACCGAGGAGTAACCACAGATGGTTATTGTGATAGATTGTAGCTGCTTGGCACCGAAATGGCTGCATCGAGCTGTATATTCCCCAGGGATCTGAGATGGTAATTGGAATGTTTCATTAGCCAAATGAGCCGGGTAATGAAAATGTATCGCCTTGAGCACAACATTTCGTTATTAAGTGATTGCGATTAGGCTACTTGGGTGCAAGATTTAAAAAGATGCTCAGTAAATCGAGGTTGCAGAGGAATATTCAGTCAAGCAAGAATTACACAAACAGAGCACACCAAGCGACCATTTTGGAGAGTAGGAATGCATTTGGTAGCTTCATGGAAACCTTGTGGGTAAAAATTCAAATACAGTCAAGGTTTAATTTCAGTAGTAAGGTAGAAGGTTGCTTTGAGGTAATCGGACAATTAGCCACGCTATGCTAAGCATCAGATTCATGTATTTTACTTACCTCAAACAGTTATAGATGGGTACTTACCAAGACCCACCACGGCCAAGTCTTCATGTTGACACTTATTTGGTGTTAGAATTATTCGACTCTGATTAAGGCCATACTGATTATGAGCATCGTCAACCAAGATCCCATCCGGCACAGATGCTCACAAGAAAAGGATCAACTACACGTAGTTTACAGATTGTTAGCAACTGTCTGTGATTTGTTCGACAGTCGGCAAGACCATTGTATGATCTGTTCAGACTTGTGCCGTAGTCGGTTCCTATGTGGCAGTAACGAAAGCAGCCCGGAAAACGTACAATGTCAGTTCAAGCCGTCAGAAAGGGGGCTCAAGTTTAACTCAATTAGCTCAAACCGAGACTAGTATACAGGTATAGTCTTGGACAGACATCCCAACTCAGTGAGTCTGACAGTATGCTGAAGTTCAGTGTCAAGTCTGGGCTTGAGCTAAAGCTCACATCAAGTCCAGACATGAGCGCGATTTCCCCCTTCTGAGATTGAAAAAATATCTAGGTTTGTTTTTTTCTTTGGATCCCTTGTGTCGTCTTTTGTTGGCCCTGAAAAACTCTAGTTCCAATTTCGCGGCGCCGTTTTAGCATTTTAGCAGTTTTCTGCTAACAAAACCTCCATTTTCACGGGAACAGTAACCATGAACACAGCAAATTTAAGAGCAAGCTTACATCCGATACCGAATTTGCTGTAGTCTTTGCTGTGAATATGCCGAAGGCTCGCTCAACTAATTCTCTAACCAGAAGACATGTCTATATTTGGAAATTCTGGAAATGTATAATATATAACACTGTATAAAAAATAACGGGAAACATCAGAAGATATCGGGAGTTGGTTTTAGACTGTATATAGTTCCAAGATTCGTAACTCTGAAAGACATCGGTTTTTACTGAGATATAGGTAGAGGTTGACAAACCTTCATCTATGGGCCTTATTCACGAGTTGGCCATTTTGTCGAGTTCCCTAAAGGCATGCCATTGAGTGTTAACTGTTAAATGGGATAGCGCCAGACTATTTATGGACGCACAACTAGTGCAGTCTTATTTAACTGTCTTTTATTTTAATCTGGATTTTAACATTAGCGAATTTTTAATTACAAATTTAAAATTATTAATTGAAGCAGACGGGAATTAATTAGGAATTCATAAATACCTCAGACAGTTTAGCTATTCCTATTGGTCGAGAGCCCGTCACGTGGCCGGTCTTAAACGGATGATAAAGACATGGCTAGCTGGTCTTAAACACTTTTCCAGTGTCACAATAAAATGTGGACTCCTAAAAATCCAGTGCCTCTTACCGTTTCATTGGTTGAACGTTCACAATCCTCACGTAGGCATGCGCAACACTACAAGCGAGTCAGAATTTTATAGTTCTAAATTCAAAACGCAACGCCCCAGATGCGTTCTGCGTGACATCGCGCAGAACATGTTACGCGCGCGTCAATCTCCATAAAAGGGTTGTTTACATCTTACTCTCCAGCTGAACACTCCATTATTTTGCTAGAGGGATGTTTCAAAAAGCATGAAGTGAACTTGTTGAACAAAATCGGGATTTTTTGAACGAATTATTTGATATTTTTTTACGGATAAGGTATTTATGAATGGGAATAAATATGTGCTCGGTCGGTATTTATCACTCTGTTTAATACCGCTTAGAGTCTGGGTGCTGATAATTACCCTCGCCTCCGGCTCGGGTAATTATCAGCACCCAGACTCTAAGCGGTATTAAACGAGTGATAAAAACCTCCGGAGCACACATTTATTCCCTTATTAACTTGCTTTCATTTCTCTTCGCAAGTTCCAAAAATTAAGATTTTACCTCACTTCAATTCAATATGGCCGACCCGTGAATAAGGCCCATTAATAACCATTAAAAGCAAGGCCAGTTTGATCATGAATCGGATGATTTAGTTCTTAATAGAAAAATCTATAAACAACCACAGTTAATGTAGTTGCTCTTCCTTGTGAGTTGAACTACATTTGACTATGTAGAAGAAAAAACACAAATTGCATTTGTTGTAAGCAATAAGCAGATATATTTATTTCCAAATCCCCGTTTACATTGAAAGAGAAATACATATAGTGCGATCTATACCAACTGTTTGACCAGGAAAAAATATCCCCATAAGCCATCTACTCAAGTTGCTATTTCTACTTCTACGTCGAAAAAAATGCCAGAAATAATCTTAACCACTATTTTAACCTTCCTTTGAAATGTAAAACCATAAATATAACATTATTCAGTGTAAACAAACTAGACTATTTACTACAAAGAATGATAAACTTGCCTTGATACAAATGTTTCCGGGGTTTCACACAATTACTTTCGATGCTTAACGTTAATTTAAAATGCGTACATTGCAAAATACATCAATAACGAAATTAGGCATACCAGCAATATTTCAAATGAATTAAAGGGTGCGCTATACCCACTAAAAGCAAACGGCAATGATAAAATTGACCTAATTATATCTACGTCGTGTATGTACAAAACAAGAATTTCTCTTATTGTACACTGATCAGTCCGTAACGGAGTGATGCAAAAGAAATTCAATATTTTTTTTGTAAAAATTAAAAAAAAAAAACATAAAAATTGTAAACCTTGAAGTTGTCGACAAGAATAAGACTATCATTAAGTGTCTATTTACGCATTTAAAGAGAGCATAATAACAAATTGAAAATTTTACAAATTTATCGTATATCAATGCACGGCTTCCAATGTTTTGGATATTACAAAATACAAATTGTATTTAAAAATATCTGATAAAAATTGCATTCTTATGCACAAAACGATAAAAGTGCTGCAGCTCTCTATATTATACACATTATATACATGTACAGGGTGAGTAAAAAAACAAAACCCAAATGTCGGGACCATTGTTTTAGTGAAGTTCTGCATGTATAGCACTTTCAAAATCTAGGATATGAATGCCCAAAATTCATAAGCTTTCTTTTTGTACAAGAATCATTCAAATCACTCATGTACTTTTCAAGTTACGGAATTTTAAACACAACCACCGTTTTAAGGTTCTGTCCACGGATCACAAAAAAAGTTCAGTGTTCTTTCAGCCAAACGAAAACAAATCACATAAGAATGTGTGTGAATTGTTTTCGTTTTGCTGAAAGAACGCACACTTTTTTTGTGATCCGTGGACAGAACTTTAAAACGGCGGTTGTGTTTAAACTCCGTAACTTGAAAAGTACATGAGTGACTTGAATAATCTTGTACTAAAAGAAAGCTTATGAATTGGGCTTTCATATCCTAGATTTTGAAAGTGGTACATGCAGAACTTCACTTAAACAATTGTCCCAACATTTGGGTTTCGGGGTTTTTTTTACTCACCCTGTATATAATAATATTTACGTATAGGACGAAGTGTAGCAAAATGGTTTAGCATTGCAAAATGAACAGTTTGTTTATCTCATGACCAGTTCACATTTTAAAAATAATGTAAGGGTAACAGATTGGCGATATTGCTGTTACATCATAACATTATTTCAAAAGCATGCTATGGTATCAAATAGGACCAGAAAACATGAGGACGGTCACAGTTACTTTTAGAAAAATACAGTAACAAAGTAAAGCGGTACTGTAAAAAAAAAAGAAGGCACGTTCATCTACTATACATGTACGAGCAAATCGTCGTGCATGCTTAGCGTATAACAACCCACGAGTTGTATTATTAAACATTTGTTACCGTGCATTTTGAACGTGACACTGTGAGAGTTTGGGCAATTTATTTTTGCAAGTTATATATACACCTGTCAATCATTATTATATACACCTTTTCCGTTCGATTGACGTCCGACAAAATGCCCACTGTCGCTTAAAATAAACCTAATATGTTTAAAACAGTAAGTGCACTTACTCAAATAAAAAGGAAAACGGGGTATATTGACGTTTTATTTTTTAGAAAGGTTGGATGTGTCGCAGAGCTGCGCGGTCGCTGAGTTGAAACAGTCACAAATTGTTGTTTCATTAGATAGTGCTTTTATCAGAATTAAACTCTATTTTAAGGTAAGATAAGTGAGTGGTCGCTTTCGCTAACAGGAAAATGCGAAACAGCTTTGGCAGCTAAAAAAGTGTCGGCGAATAATTCTTTCGGATGTCGGGTTTTGTCAATATGCTAAGACAGTGCCACGCTTGACGCTGTCGCGTCAGCTTCGTGGCTAATAGAAATTGTCATTTTAAATTTTTACCATTCGCCATTACGAATTTTATCTTTTAAAAAATAGTAGGTTGTCAGTTAAGGCCAACCAAAAAAATCTATCAAAATGAAAAAGGGCTCTCTTGAGTAAAAGCTTTGTACACAAGACTTATTAGTGAAAATCCTGATGGATAAATCTTTGTTCATCACTATCTTGATGTGGTTTTTGTGACCTTTTTTAATTTGAGTGACTTTTTCAATTTACATCTTAATTACTAGCATTATGCCAAGTTAATTAATTGTTTTAATTGTTTTAAGCGCATTTGTATTAATGCATTTGTTAAAAAGGTTAACGGCGAACGTCACTATAAGCCTGTAGGTGTCAACAAAATTCGCCTCCCTTTAACTTCAGCGTGAATTATCAACCAACTGTTCAACACAAAAAAGAATATACTGAACTAAATGTCTCATTCAATCCTCGTATTTAGTAGTCTCACATGTACTAGGCATTTTGCGCAAGCTAAAGTGCATATTGCCAACAAATGTTCTATTTTCCATTTATAACACCCTAGCTCTGCCCCATCTTTAGTGTGGATTTTTAGTCTGGGGTAATTTTCAGATTATTCTAATGAATAAAAGTAATTTTACAAAAGAAGTCGCTACGAGTTATCCCGAAGTCCAGTCCTAGAGATCACACCGGACCCCTCTTCAAGAAACTCAACACGCTCACAATTTATACAAATATCACCTGGGTATCCTTATGTTTAAATTTGAAAATAATCTTCTGCTGTGAAGTTAAATCATTGTTTCAGAAGAATACATGTACTGAGGTCCACTTAGGCCTACATAATACCAGATCAGCACCTAAGCTTTACATTGGAAAAGCAAGAACTAATTTATTAAAACAGTTTGACACCAAGGCCCATTTCTCTGGCATAAAATCACTCCAGTACCTTACTTTAGAAGTATGCATGGTTTTAAAAAGTACCGAAAGAATATTCTTATTTTCAGTGTAATATAATTTATTTATCCCGTAGCATTCAGTACACGTATTACATTTCTATCACTATTGTGGATATTAATGCAGTCACAGAACTTAGATTGTTTTCGTTCTCGAGTTGTTAACGTATTGCATTGAGTTTAAAACATCCTTGTTATATGCTGGAATTCCGCTGTATTATCAATCAGTTACTTTTTGTACTTTTTTTCTCTTTTCTACCTTGTAATTATAGTTGTACATAACTGTGTTACATTATTAATGTGATGTATGGAAATAAAACAATACCAATACCAAATACCAATAGTATTCTCTTTGGATTCCTTTTGGGGTACGGTCTCTGCACTTCTTAATAACATTAGTTCCGAGCTTCTGGTGTTTCTACGCTTGGTATGCGGTTCAGTATCTCATCCCATTTGTCATGGAACTCATCCAGTGGGAGGAGCTTACAGCTGGTAATGCCCCGCCTCCTAAGCTGGTCCTGTAATGCCTCCTGCTCGTGGCGAATCATGTAGCGGTTCAGGATGTTGCAGTGCTGCATCGCTTTGCAAACGCTAGACGCTTTGATCCCGGGAAACAGGTCCTGGACCAGAAGCTGTGTTGGTACGAAGGGCACCTCCGAACGCAGCACGCAGGGGAAGTTCATCTCACGGTAGTAAACACTGTAGGAGGCCTTCAGGACCTGCTTACGGGGATTCTTAGATTGGACAACCTCCAAGGGTTGGACCGTCACCCGGTAGATCTCCCGAATCTTGGCGTCCACCTTCTGCATCCGCCGGAACCCATCTTCCGTGGGGATGAGAAAATTAGGGGCGGAGCAGGCCGATCCTTCCAGATTGTCTTGTGAATCGTCTGGTTTGCTTGGCGGAGATTCCTGTTTCGCGGTAGGCACTTTGGTCACGTTATCTGCTTGGACCCAAGGGAGCGCCTGGATCAGGATTGGTGGACTCATCTTGGTGACCGGTTTGGGGGCAATCGATTGCAGCGGGCGCACCACTACGCGGACGTCGGGGAACTTCATTTTTCTTGTCGGGGACCCGGATGCTTGGGGAGCAGTCGTTGATTTCTGAGTAGGATGTGATTTAGAGTGCTCGGCGGGTTGAAATTGAGAGTTCTGAGTGGGTTGGGGTTTAGAGATATGTAAAGGTTGCGATTGAAATGTCACCGGAGACTGTGCTGTACGGTTTTGTGCAGATAGTGACTTCTCTATACACTGGCATGGCTTATTTCCAGTGTATTCACTGACAACAGCTGCACATGTGCTTCCCATTTCTCTTGTTTTGGTAGGCTCCCTTAGGAGTGAAGCTGCGGCAGGTATATTACAGTTGTCGTTGTCAGTCTCATCCTGACTAATGATCAGTGGACCAGGAGAATTACAGACGGGGTTCTCCCCCTTCTCGCTCGGAGAATCAAATGATATGGACATGTCATGTCTCTCAATCTCCTCCTCCGAGGGCGGTGACATGAAAATGCGCAGAGCTTCATTCACCATCACGTCAATGTATAGAGGGTTCTTGGTTCCAGGCATGCGCGACTTGGGATTCGACTCGGCCGAGTCTGGTGTTTTGCTCGAGTGATCTTCAGGCGAGTTGGTGGTCCAGTTTCTGTCCTCTCCGACATTCTCCGTAGGTGTTTTAGGAGTGGTGCTTTTGAACTCTCTGATATCAGAGGGGGCTGCTGATTCCGGGGTTCCGTTTCCCCTGCTGCTAGACGCCGAACCAGGTCCTTCTAACAGCATGCCTTCAGCCCTCCGTATGAGCTTAGAGATGAAGCGTCCCCTTGTTTCCAGCTGCTGATCTTGACTCATGTTCTCTTTCGGATCCCTGACTTCCTTCCCTCGGGGAACCTCGTTTGCTAACTTGACAGAGAGTGCAACGAGATCCTCCATCGATGCTGCTTTCCCGTGATGGTGAAGAATCCCAGGACAGTTATCCGCCGGGTAACTCTTCGAGCGGACCACAACGCCTGCTTTATATTGTATGGAAAGGTTCATTGCTCCATTGTCCGAATGAGTCTGTGTCTGTAGACTTTTCAACGGTTCTTTGGGACTATTCCTGTCCTGGGTATGTCCCTTCTTCAAACTTAAATCCAGTGCGTAGTTATTTTCCTCCCTGGGCACAGAGGACGCATGTCCTGGCCCGATTTCAGGCATTTTTGTCTCATCTGCGGAGTTGACAATTCCAGACTTTGGCTTCTTAGCCATAGTTTCCACGATGGTGTTTGGAATAACCCGCTTTCTTTTGGTCTTTGTAAGCGGCGGTGATAAGGCAAGGCCGGGTCTGCGTTCAAGCTGCGAGGTGCTAGGTGGAGTACATAGCTGTATTGGGTTGGATAAGGGATGGCACGGTAACGACTGATGGGAGTCTGGTCTACCAACCGCCTCGTCTTTAACGTACATGTCTTCCAGCTGTTTGAACCTTCCGTACCCACTAGCTAAGTTGCGTTGAGACTGCGCATCAGTGGGCGAGGACATGCATTCAACGCCGCTGTCGAGTGATTCCACACTTCCCGTCTCATTCCTTGAGGACTCAGAAGATAGTCTTATGCTATGTTTGGGGGTAAATGTTACTTTGGGTTGAGAAATTTCTGGATATAGTCTCTGGGGCTTCTCTGGGTACATGGCTTGTTGCCCTGCTCCTTGGGCCAAGCTCCGAACCTCTACGATTCTCGGCATTCCGTCTTTATGATTGTCAGGGAGGTAATCCCTGGGAAACTCTCTGACAGGTGCAGTTGCACATCTCGCTTGCTGGATGGCACGCTGCTTTGAGACATCTTTGTCTGGACCAGATTTCTGAGCAAAGAGCTGAGAAACATCCTGTTGAAATGGATACCCACTCAAGTAACTGGACCTGTTCCCTGCGCGAGTCGCTTGCTGCATCTGTTCTTCACTGTACCAAGCCATTAAGCTGCTGGGCTGAGCAGCTGAGAAGGGTCCACCGTGCATCCCTTGGGCGTGTGTCTTGTGATGCGCCCTTGGATATTGCAGTGTACCCTCCTGATGTTTGTACTTTTCTCTCAACATCTCCACCCTCGTGATCATTCCTTGAAGTCGCCGAATTTCCATATCAAGAGAACTGTAGGCTGCTGGTGACTCTGTGTGAGATGCCGGCCTGGAAAAGGCACTCTCTCTTCGTCCACCACACGATGGATCCAGAGAGGGAGTGCGCTCCATGCCGGGCAATGCAAACCTATTTGCAAAAGGCTGCGGTTCTGGTCGGCCTTGCATCTGAAGATGGTTGAGATTAGCAGGCACTCCCTGGTTATAGGAACCTGACCTGTGATACTGCACCACCCTTTGGTCTTCCAGCTTTGGTGTTAAGTTGACGGAGCAATGCTTAGGTCGTTTTGTTTGGCCCATCCCTATAGCGTTGGGGGACAGCATATCGTTGCGCATATCTCGCAGAGCTGTCTCCTGAATGGCTCGACTCCAGTTCAGTTCCGGGTCTGAGAAGGCACTTCCATAAACAATCGATTTAGGGCGGTAGCTTTCCACTGGTCTTCCAACACAGTCATCTGTCTTGTTAAAGTGCGTGGCGCTGGCGTTCAGCTGACGCATTTTTTGGACATTTGCCAAGGATGCGTGGTACTGCATCAGCTCATTTGAGAAGTAGTGTCTGTTGTGGTAAACAGAGGGATCCAAGTGGGGAGATGCGGCTGTCGCTGAAAGGGGCTGCGATGTTCCACGGTTACCGGCGGCAGCTCGCAGGTAGGGTGTGGTTGTGGCATCAAAGTGCGGTGGTATACGGGAACTTCTGAATGGGCTTTTGGTATCCATAATGTCACTTTGTTGGTCAACGATCAAAGTTATCTCATTGGTGGAAATCTTTAAGGATACTTTACTGTGACCCAAAAATATTGTATTTAGCGAAAAACAGTTCTTCGTCTGTGCTTGTTCATGCCTAGAATAGTAGCAAACCAATGTGGTATCATATCAGCGTGTGAACTCTGTCTGGTGGTATATATCTACAGCCTCGATGTTGTCCTTTCGAAATTACCAATCGGGTGCAGCCTGTTGTGTATCATGATGGCAGGGTCCAATGTCCGTGGGCGTGACAATGTGGCTATCTAAGATAGTGTCGGTCAAGTTGACTCAGCTTGCGGTTCGGCATCGATTTATATACATGTTGAAGGCCTCGGCTGGCAGGATTCCCACGCTAATCGCACCAGTTCTGCCAAAGAAAAGGCATAAATAAACGTCAGGTGGATCATAATGAACACGTAAACTATATGGAGAGTCAGTACCAAAAGTTTTGATCGAAGATCACGCACGGACATTCTAAGAACCGACAATAAAATGTGGGAGGTTCGTTTCAAGCCTTCGCTAACTTTCTTCGCCGAAGGAAGGTCTTTATCTGTTTAAATCTACTTTACATGTTCTTGTCAAGAAAGGTATTTCTTGTCTGTGCTGTACGGATTCAGAATATGCGTTAGCAAGATATACTTGGCTGAGTACCTATATGAACCAGTAAATTCTCCAGTTGGCTATTATGGGGCGGTTAGAGTCTTTCAAAAGTTTTCTACCAGAACCTCTGAATATTAAAACCTAAATTTGTCAACCCAGAATATGTCCTCTCCCAGATCCTTAACGCCTTCCTTCATCCCTTACGTTCATTCACTTCTCTATTAGATAACCGAGTCTTGATTTTGTCTATCAGAAAGGAAACTTTAAAATGTTGATTATTTAGAATAGTTATATCGTAGAAAGCAACGATTGGTGTGGCTGATCGATTGCCTATCGGATTACCGTGTAGGCCTTTCATCTGTCTGTTTGTTTGTTTGTTGGCTCATGTCAACAAAACTGATAACTGGCAGTTCAAACACCTATTGTAGATCACAATAACATGTAATACAGCCATAAACATTCATCCCTCTATAGAGACTTCAATCAACCACGTTTATCACCAAAAGACAAAAGACCAAACTGTCCATCGACGCAGAGTGAAAACGGCTAATATTTTGACGTTTGAATTTAATGGTTTCAATTACATTAAAACATGAATCAATGAAGGCAACCAAGATTTTCGCAAATGCATACAAAACACATTGGTTGATTCTATCATTATTTTTTTACTATTATTACATTTATTACAGTTTGTCTGAAACCTAATTACGTATATTCCAGCATGTTCTAGATATTCGGGACAAATCAATTCTTTTTGGAAAAACATCTATTATGTTCCGCCATTAAAAGTTTCCTTTTTTAAACTGTATGCCCGATGACAAATGAATCCGTTCTGGCCATCTCAACGTCTTAATTTTTTATTAAAACGTCCAGTTGGAAGAAAGCAAGTGAGCAAATTGTGAGAGCAGAAAGTACATTGTTTTATTATCAATTACAAGGTCAAAACAGGTCAATCTTTCCTTCAACATGGACTGTGGTCTTTTGCAGTTGTCTCCAGAAACCGTGACCCTTTGTCCAACTGATAAGCATAACTTAATACGATGACTCAACTCTTCAATATCATTCTGTCCATGTCCAATTAACCAACGACCCGACAGAACTGTGCAGAAATTGATATTGTTTGCACCACGATTGCACTTTTTTTTCCGACCGCTAGCGGAGGGTTTTATGTAAGAGACAGTATCTGGGTTCGTTTGCCAAACGTTCATCAGACGCCTTGGAAGATGCAATTATTCAAGATGACAAATAACACGTCACTCGATTGCCAATTATTTCATATTTTGTACCAGCGTCTGGGCCTTTTGATTAAAACGTCGACCGTGAGCAATTGTAAACAGCGTTTGGCAACCCAAAGAAAAACACATTATACCCCGTCACTCAAGAATCCAGTTATTTTCTTATTGCTGGGCATGTTCTCCAGTGTTGTCTGCAAACAACAAAAGGCAAGGACATGTGGACAGAAAAATTACGATATTACTGCTGCTCTGCCCGTTGGAGAAATATTTGCCTATCAATATTGGACTTTTCATGTTGTTTGTTACTTTCGCACGAGGAGATACCACAACAAAAGCGAAAAATACAAAAGCGCGCTTGGTATACAATCAGCCAAAAGGCTGGAGCCCAAGTTTGGTGGTCAATGTGATTGACGTGGCAATATAAGAAACTAATAAATGCTGTAATAAAAATGCCGAGAGCACGCCAATTTTGAAAATTGTACAGCCGTAGGCGTTCGATCGAAGCAGAGTTTCATTAACGGGGCTTCATAATGCCAAGTAGGACGTGATAATGAACCACTGCCTCGGCTGCTTTTGCAATTAGAGTTCCATGTTACCAGGGTAACGCAACTCTGTATTTCCCCCTCAAGGACAGACTTCAATCATTTGTTGGCTGTCAATTTTTTGTGGGGTATCATCAAACACCTGTTAGCGACGCAATCATTGCCACGGCCATGCCTCTACAGAGATACCTAACGTGACTTAAAAGTTTCATTGTAATTCAAACTTTGGATACACACAAGGAAAAGACTGCATTCGGGGGCATATTTTGTGGTTCATAATTTTGTTATCATGAGGTTACAATTTAAAATATTCCTTGCAGTTGTCGCAATATGTAGTTAAGATGTATATTTCTCAATTTTAGCAAAATTCTAACAGATATTTACTTTCTCGCCTTTTGCCGACTTACTAACTACATGTATAATGTTACCACTGGTACCAAAGTCTGTATGATTAAGCAGGACTTGTACTACATCCAGGCAAGTGGTATGGGGTCAAAAATTAGTGCAATGAACTGAAACGGCGAAAGGGTTGAACCTGCCTTAATTCCATCTGTAGATTTTGTCGTTAATTGTTCCACACAAGAATGCCCTTTGAAGAAGGCCCACAAGACCATTGTGTGTTGTTCTTTTTCAGACAGAAAAGCGTCCATTGTACCCCTAAAGAAAAGCTGTTCGGAAACTTTGAACCCTCATCTATTTTGTGGCTTTGGAACAGAAGATACAACTGTTAAAAAAAATTTAAAAATCTGGTCACGGGGCTGAACATCTTCATCACGTGGCTTTTGGGTTGTTTTTTTTAATCGTCAAAACAAACAGGTGACGCATTTTTTTATCTCGAAGTTCTCGTCAAAAGTGAATGCACATGGCAGAGCTTACGTTGCACAGTTTACATTTGGTGCATAATTCCAGGGTATTAGATTTCATGATTATATCCAGACAGTTCTGATGCATTAATGTCTGTAGTTGGTTCGTCGTAGGTTTGAAACTGAAAAACGTGTCTGCAGTACCATCATTGTGGTATTCTCGCGAACGATAATTCCTGACACACCGACCCGTTAGGACATCACAAAAATTGTAAGCAAGGGGCCTCTCCAGTTTTTTTTGTGTGATATGGTGGACACAATAGAATGGTGCAATTTGGAATCGTTACATTTTCTTTTATTTTCCCAATTAACCCACTCCTCTGCTTCCGGTATATCTTTAAAAAGGCTATCGGGCTTTCTGTACAGGCCTATCACGAGCAAGATTGAAAATCAATCCACATATTGGTGTCTTTTTTTACACACCCAAAAAAGTGCACGAAAAGTTCACCCAAACCTGGGTGCATTTTAGCGCGAAGGTATCTATTCAAAAGGCATATCACTGCTTGACCTTTTAATGACGTTATCAATGCTGAAAGCGAAGTCGGTCGAACAACACCAAGGGTCGTTCCGAACGTGTTTTTTTTAACAGGTTTTCCCATTTCAAATCTACTAGATTAAATGCTCTGCAAAATTTCTAACCGAATTAATGCAGTCAAAGAAGCCAAGGAGATTGAAACCAATTCCTCTTGATTGACAAACAAATGTATATTTACTTTAAAAAAAAATATGATAATTTATGAGAGATGGCTGGGACTAGAATGAGTAGAGTTGACATATGGCAATTCCTTAAATAAATTATTTTTAATGACCGGAGAATGCATTCGTTATTCGGAATGGCACATGCAGTCATTGTGTTTGGTAAATACATGTATTAAACATGTACAGGGTGTCCTGAAAATAATGGTGCATGTAAACCCCGCCATTTTCACCAACTTACAACCGGAATTTACTGCAAATGTTTACACGATCTTCAAGGTTACAGATTAAGCTTGAGAATACTGTTTGTTTAATTAAGATTGTTTTTGTAAATCCAGAGATCTGTTTGGTTAAACGCAAAGCCAAAAAACACCATTCTGTGCCACTTTTAGGAAGCGAGTGCTTCAAAGATCAGTCAATGCCAGTATGGCTCTTTTGATAAGATTTTTCCTATGGTTGTAAGACAAACATTCCATTCAAACGACATGATAGGGTTTTGTTCTTATGTTGAAACAATTTAATAGTACCGACAGGTTCAAGAGTTCAAGTAAATATAAATAAATATTGCACACTCTGCTTATAGGTCCCCTAATGTTAAAATCACTAACAGTAAAGTGATTCGGTTTTAGACTAGGACTATACTGATTTTAACTGCTTCACAGAAAGTGACACAAAATGGGTTTCTTGGCTTTGCCGTTATTCAAACATATCTTTGGATTTACAAAAGCAATCTCAATGAAACAAACGGTATTCTCAAGCTAAATCTATTACCATGAAGATGGTGTAAACATTTGCAGCAAAAAAAAAAATTTGAGGACGCCCTGTATAGTAACTGTAAAAAGAAAACACTATAACGCGTCCGATTGAGCCATCACAATTAATTTAACGGTTTCCATGAGTATTATTTCATGAGTTATTATTCAATTTAAATAATTGAAACTACAGCAGATATCTCGGAGTGACATATGGCCTCCTTAAATGTTTGCTATACGACAATATTCGGTTTGCATGACGCCCTTAGGCCAATAGCTCAATAGTCGACGAAATAGTCATTCATTTTATATCTCCTATATCAAGTAATTATGAAAACACTGAAGCATCATTTCCCCGGGCTATGGCTACAGTCTAGACACATGTCCTACATCAGAGCCATTTTAAATAATTGCAAACAACTAAATTGTGTTGTGAAAAAAAAATTGTGAACACAAAAGTTTTAAGCAGTGAATGCTGTGCGCGACGAGATACGCGCTGGTAACTTTTCCCATGTCGCAAGATTGGCACCAGCATTACACATATGCCATTGTGTGGAATAGGAAGCCTAGCCTGCTGTAACTAATAACCACATAATGACTCACGAGAACATAGCTGGCTTCATGCTTCAATTTGCAACTGTTCATCAAATAGACTGATTACCCCCACGACGAGTCCCATTTTTTCCCGATGCGGAGCGAGTTGGGCTTGAGCCAAATACCACCACGTGGAAAGTACGTCTGCGCCCTAAGGCCGTTTGCAACAGGCGCCATTCCATGTACTTTGCACATTATACACCAGCTAAACATCTGGTGCCGAAAAACAAAACAAAAACCTGATATTACTGATATCTGTTCAGTTGATTACTGCATATGCACACACAACAACTTCAGATTATACAGATGTTCTTTTCCGTTGTTAAGGTCTTTTCTACTGGTATGTTAAAGTCATTTTTCTACATATTTAAGAGGCAGAGAGCATTTCTTTTTGGGGCACATAGACCCCTTGCATCTGGCGTAACATCCGAGGGCTTGCCTTTGTTTATTTATGATACACGTGAGTAGGCACTTTATACTGTCATTGTCATTGAATTGTAATAACAAACCAGTGCCATCAGTGAGGGCGCACTTTGCAAATGGTCCATCACCGCACGCAATCACTAAGTCTCCTACGCGCGAGTATTATTTCGGCGCCATGCGGATTGTGTAAGTTCAGGAATATGATGACATCGCATTTTGTTTTTTAGATCTCGTTAACAATTTCTTGGTGATAATAACTAAAAATAAGCTGACAGAGAATAAGAACTTAATTGATACCAGTAATTGATACCATCACTCCAGTAATTCGATTGTTCAATTACGGTGAGCGAAGTATCAGTGGCGTAGATGTATTAGTCACACAGTGATAACCTGCAAACTTCATCAGTATAGCCACGACCACATAACAAATGTGGGGAAAACTGCATAGAGTTACGCATGAATTAACATTCAAACCATCACCCATATTCCCTTCCAGATAGGTATTCGCAGAAAGCCTCACCGTTATATAGAACCCGTCACAAACAAACTAGTTTTTAAATGTCAGAACTTACTCAGCGTTAGTACAGTCGGTATCAAAGTCTGTGGTCAACAGGTGTCTTCAGATGCCGAAATCATTCACCAGATCTACGGCTAGCGTATAAGAATCCACTCCCGTATGCCATGAACTTGTGTATGTAGTGTTGAGGGAGCTGATCCGCCGCAATGTCTACAGCATGACCGGCTTGTCTGAACAGTACCAGCACAATATCCAATTCGCCAGCCGGAGTAGTGCTCGGGTATTTATACTCATTTCTGTCGGCCACGCCACCACAGCCGATTGGCGCGGGGTTGGAAACAAATGCGAGGGTGGCGACACGGCTGGCTGGTTAGCCTGCGGCCTACCGTCTGCCGAACAAAAAGATCCCGGCCTGCTCATCCGTACCGCACAACAAAACTGACTATGGTACGGTCTGTATAATCGGGCTGGGAATTCCCCCCCCCCCCCCCATGTAAGTCTTTGTTGCTGAACAGATCAATTCATCAGCTCCCAACACCTTGGATCATTGATTGGTGTTGAAGTCCATTGGTTGTAGGGCCTATTCTGTTCTTCTTAAAGTTGCACAACCCCGGCCTCTGTGCTATTTTCCCCAGCAATACAATAAGTATTCACTTTTGAATGAGACATCGACCGGAAAAAAAATCGGCCAGTGTTTAGGAATTGAATTAGTACTTCACAAATTTCGAATGTTGGCTGCCAGACAATAATTCCGTTCTCACGGGGTGGGCTGGTTTCCGCCCCACAATCAGTATCGATAATGTACAGATTGGGAGCCAGTCTGCTCGCAAAACAGATATGTTTGTGCTCAAAGCAAAAACCTTTTTTTGTCAGAGGGTTGGAAACGGGTGGGGGGGGGGAGTTTTTTGGGGGTTGGCTATATCATGCAAGTTGAACATTTATTAAGAAAAAATAAACGAATTGTAAAAAAAACGTGGACCGACGCAACGTTAATCGCAGGCTGTATATATCCTCAGTGGCGTAAGTCTGTGTCGACGACTGAGGGGGGGGGGGGGGGGGGGGGGTACGCCTCAAAATCTTGAAACTTTCCCCGACGTTGCAAATTGAAAAGTGTAGGGGGGTGGTGGACACTATTTTGGCACTAGGTGGTGATGTTCATAATACTGCTCAGAGCTTTATATAGGCCTATGTCAGGGGCGGATCTATAGCTTTCAGAAAACGAGGGGTTTTTTGTTTGAGTGATAAGGCGTGCTGATTGCGCGCCCTGATGCTGAGGGGGGGGGGGGGGTCCGGGGCATGCCCACCGAAAATGTTTGACATCCATGATGCTTTCTACTGCATTCTAAGATAATTTGAGAACAACTTTAGGAACTTTAGCATTCCATTTATGATTTTTGGCCCCATTTTACAATATAATTTTGCTGATTTTCTAAGTATTCGTCTTTTTCATTCAAAAAAGAAATGGCAAAAGGAGATTAAACGTGAGATTGGGACGACGCAAACTGTCACACGGAGACAAAACAAAACATATTTTGGTGATCTTTTCCACTCTTTTTATTGTGGTCGGTTTTACATGCTTTAATCTCTTTTTCTCTTGCTCTTTTTATTTCTCAATTCACTTATCTTAAACATGCTTCACTCTACAATTTCTTAATTTTGCATTACAAAATAGGGAATAAGTAGCGTTCAATATGCCTATTATAGGGTTGTTGTTTTGTTTTTATGATTTGACATCATGCATCCAAGTGGGTCAATTGTTGGAATTGCGTGATTGAAATAGTCAATCGCATGCTTTAACATTTGAATTGAACGATATTTTTCTGAGGTATAATTGAATGTTGATTTGAACGCACATTCAAATTCGTGCGAAATTGGGTGATTCGTCATCAATTTGGCAGCCAAATGTGCTTAATTATCTGCTAACTGATAAATTTTCAAAATTGAACCGATAATTCTAATCATATTGTAAATGATGGCAAGTAATTCCAAGGTTTATTTTCATTGTAATATTTAAAACGAATAGCGCGTGAGGCAGGTGATAATAATTATTGACGTTGATTTGTGCGGGGTGTTTCTCTATGGTAAAGTATACATGTTCGTAATTAATATTGTTTAATTTTTATTTCTATTTCTTTTTAGTTATTTCAAATATTTTGGGGCCATAACAAATTAGTGTTTATGTGTATTTTATAGGATGGTAATAGAGACAGACCTGGGTCTTATAATTTTATATTTCAAAATTTTATACATCAAAGTTGACCCTTTCCATGACATGTTTTCTACCCTGCCTAGTGCTCGATTTAGTTATTTTTCTCCTTGGAATTCTTGAAAATAATTCATAATCATTATTTTATTGATGGTTTTATTTATGTTTTGGGTATGCTCCGTCATGAGCTGTGTTGGATTAATCTACTCTAAAATGAATAACCACTTTGCAAGTCGGCCGTATGGCGCCGATAACATGTATAATTAACCATTCATAAATTAAAGAATATAATTAAGGTAGCCAGTGAATGTTTTACTGTAAACCAGCCAGAACCGAACATGTCAGAAAAGCTCTTTTATTTGGGGGGGGGGGGGTTCGAATTTATTTGTACCAGGGTAACCAATGTGTTGGATTGAACATTGTAAATACAGGACCGGAATCTCCTTCGCTCTTTTATATCATAGTTTTCGGGATCATGTCTACATGCTATTGCTTGTTTTTAGTAAAGCGTGGTTGGCCTTGTTGGTCACCTTTTTAATTAATCATGAAAGCCCCAGACCATTTCTGGATGCGGGTACTGGTTAATGAAAGACCGATCATGCTGGTACATTTTGTACTCTCAGTGTGGTTCGCAAGTTTATCTTTTTCTGTCAACAACCAGGTAGTCACAAACCATCACGCGCATGCGTACCTTATCAAATCGTTTTCAAATAAACACGATGATTTCATTGTTTCAGGGAACCAAAAAGGCGAAGGGAAAAACGATCGTGAGAATCAAAGCCAAGTTGACCAAACATCAAAGCTTTCAACTATTCGTCACGTGTTAAAGCTTCAAGCACGTGATCCATCTTTAACCATGTGATTTCTCCTCACGCGTGCGCATTAAGCTCTCCAGATGGTTTGCACTGCAGCCATCTCTGAGGTGTGTGCTTTTGTTCCACTAGGATACACAACAATCGAGATATACCTAGTTGTGGAAAAAAAATCGCTGTCCAAGGGTCAAATGCAGCCTATATTCACAAAAGTGTGACTCGCCGGTTGGAGAGATCTATAGCGGCAGACCATTAGAATTACACACATCATTGCACGTAGCCTGACGTATAGGGTTCGGCTATATGTTTCAATGCTTCTGCTGCAAAGCCCTTCCCTACTAACCCCATTTTTTTCTCAAATGCCCTGTGTGAGGACGCGCACGTGAACCAGTACTCAACATTTTGTTTTCAACATGCCACCCCTTCATTTCAGTAAAAATGATGTGTTACAATAATCCCGCCAAAATATAGATTGTATTCCGTTTAAAACAAATTCCTTTTAGATGAAGTTAGGACTTCTTTTGAGTGTAACGCACGTTAAGAATCCCTCATTCAGTCCTTCCACCCATATCATGGCCACCATTAATTATTTTGCAATATCCAGACACCAATGTTGTAAGTTAAAATAAGGAAACCTGCCATTGTCTGAAAGGACTGTCTTTATAATGCCAAAATAATCGTCTGTCGAGAATCATTCTAAATTTCCAGAATGAGTTTTGCATGTCTGACAATATACTAGACCTTCACCAATACCACTCACTGCAAAATGTTTAGCAATAAAACACTTTCTTGCTATCAGTTTGTAAATATGTTTAAATACTCTATATCGTTAGAGTATTGATGGATAGTTTTTGGTGGTTGAACATTACTATTTAGGATTTAAGCACGTAATGTTTAGCTTCAAGGCATGTTTACAAAGTGAATTGCTAAGCACAGTTTTAGAGAGTTGTCTTCTTTTAGCCACAATTAACATTTTCGTGACTTGAATTGCAAATACAGTTTTACTGCCGTCCTTTGCATATTACAAAAGCACTGTCTCCGTTAGAATCTGATAATGAAGCAAATTTGCATGTGATTAATTTAACCGGTGCTCGTTGCGCATGTAAATTCCCAGTTATTTAAAACCCATGGCCATAAAAGCTTATCCAAGCGATTGTTCGAATAGAATCTACGAACCGTTTTATTGCACCGTGCCATTGCACTATTGGAAACTTTGGAGAGAACTTTAATGTCCTTGGTATGTGCAAATTACACGGAATTAAGGTCCATTCACGTCTCACAATGCGACACCAGGCTGCTGCTTTTCAAATGTATCGGGGTGGACACCATTTAACGATTGGTGGCGCTGTTCATAATAGACCCTTGTATACAGTGCATTACTGGAAATTTTACAGTTACTTTGAAATTGTACTTGAATTTATAACTGGCTTGGCTGTTCCTCTTGTCTTCATTTACAAGGTGTTTTTTTCTTCACACAACTACAACTTGTTTGTCAAGCACAAACATAATTATGGGGGCCGGGGCCCGGGGATATAATCCAAAAGCCCAGCCACGATTGTTGAACACGTATGTAAATGAGGAATAGTCTGGTGCCTGCATGTGTGTTACATTGGCGTTTGTTTTAGTATTCGGTGTCTGGGGTGAAAACAGCATCAATTCGTCGTGTCGTGAGTTACGAAAATACGATTGTTTTCGAAGTAAAAATGTTACAATCTTATCCTGCCAATATGCAGTATCACATTTCGTATTAATATGAGCAAATTTGAAAGGAAAAGAGTATTTTTGAGAAGGCGCGGACGTTATAATATTATTACAATGATCGTGAAAGCACGTAATGCACATTGGAAATAACAACACCAAGTACACATATACATCCATTACTAGCCAAATTCGGTATCGAATCAGGATACAGGAGGAAAGTTTCATATTCAGGGCTTACTATTGGAAACGGGGTTGGAAATAAAGCGGGCACTGGGGACGAGGTTGCCAAAGCCTTAAAACCCTGATCAAAATAAAATTGTGTGTGGGGAGGGGGATTATGTACTCTCACCAGCCGTGATTTACGCCCGTGCCAGTGCAGGTCTATCTATTCCTATAATCTGGTTGGGACTAAGGCCGAGTAAAAAATAAAAGAGTTTATCGTGGCTTAGACAAGATAAGTTTGCGGTAGCACCATGTGAATAAATCTCTTTTGTGAGTATTTGTGGTTCTGAAAAGAACCGGAGGGACTCAACGTTTCGCACAGTATGCTCTGCCCGTCGTCAGCTTCACCGGTTTCGAGCTTTACTAGTTTACATTCTTGGTTTTTTTTTAACTTGGCCAAGTCTTATATTCCCCATTCGGAATCCCTAATCCAAGCTTCCAGCATAAACGCACACATGGGAGTCATCTATTTTCATTTTTAGACAAAATGATCAGATTTGATCGTTGACTAGCTAGGCATAACTTTTTTTCAACCGTAAGCAAAATGTGGCATTTGGTGTTTTGATGTAGTTACATGTCCTCGTAGTAAATTACAGGCAGCGATCCGAGAATATCCTGTCTGATGACTCTATACTAAACTCGGATTCGAGTTCTGTTATTTTAATCCTCTTATTTTCCAGGGAAACAAAATGAACATGCAAGGCTGCTCTAATGAATCTTACCAACAAAGGAACTGAGCAAAATGAACTGAACTACCATTATTCGGCAGTCTCGCTTGTAAAAAAAAAACATTATCAAGTGTACAAGACGGGTCATTATTTTTGAGGCTGTCTAACCCTTCGCGCTTGTTTAAAGAGAAAGTTCGTGTTCTTATTTTTCTGTGTAATTTACATGCTTTAGACGATAGGGAGGGCCTAATTAGGTATATTATCAGAGCCAAATCTCAAATCAGCTATATTGTGATACTGCAAAGAGTTTAAGGACTTGAAACGAGGCTAACCACACCCATTAACAATGAAAAGTTTTGGTTCAAGAAAAGAACAATTGATTTTAGTGTTTTATAGCTGCGGGATATCAACTCAACAATTCATCGTGTCCTCTCCGTTAGTCCGTTGGTTAGTAGTTCGTTACAAACGTTGACATTGTCTATTGCTCCTACATATTTTGACCGATTTCAACCAACCTTTGTCATAAGTATCAGTAGCCCAGCCCCAACGTGACCAAAGTAGGGTCAAAGGTCGTCACGGGGTCACTGAGGTCAAAAACCGGAATTTTGTTTTACTAAAAACACTACTCCTTCTAGAAATTACATGGCACAATCACTCATGCATGAACACACTCGTTTGCTTATGGTGTAAATTGAGTATTTTCTTTTGTTCCTCTTCCCTTTTTTTCTGTTTGTTTAACTTTTTCGCAACAGCTCTCATTGGTTTTGTACACGTAAACCGAGGTCGTCCTCGATTTGGTTCCTGTCCTCGATTCACCCATGATGTTGCACGTGTGCGTCCTCGATTTACATCATAAACAAACGAACGATTTCGTTGATATTTCAGACAGAGCTTGTTTTTCAGAGGAAACAACTTTTATTCCCACCTGTATAGAGAATGGAGCCTAACGAGTTTGCCGAGTAATTATGACAGCCGCGTGCTCGCTAGAACAATCTGATTATTAAGAACGAAAGGAAATCGCTTGATATTTGTCCCTTTTTGCTTCATTTTTATTTCTGGCAAGGCCAGGTGTGATTCCGTGTTGAACTGTCTTGCTCATTAAAAAAAATATATAGAGACATATAGCGGTTCATTTTGTCTTTTGGTTCTTTTTAAAGCACTGACATTTCGAAACGGTCGATTTTCCCGTCGCAATAACACTAATTGTGTTTTTCACGTCCTGATTAGTATAAAATGGCCAGAGACGAGACACTCTGGGCATAATCAGAACAACGCTTGGGCATAATCAGAACAACGCTTGTCCGTCTACAATGTCCACTACAAACCATGAAGTCGATTGTAGTTATATAGAGCCGGAACATTGTAATGGCTCTAGCAGGTGGAAATACATGTATACATCAACAGAATAGTGTATTACAACGTTGAAAAAGATATAAAAGTTAGAGTGAAACAAATATATAAAAACTCCATCAATCTTTCGAATTAATAATATCAATCATTTTGTCAATCGGATAATCGATTGACACAATATTTTGATAATGAAGATTATCAATATACTTAAAGCCGAATTCATCAATTTGTTCACAAAGCTGAAATCCATTAGTGATCCAATACGTCTAGAACCAAACATGATTGATGTCGCATATCATTCTATAATCTACACATTCCACCCTAAAAATGTCTTTTCTGATCACAATTCATGACCCGCACTGATTTTGTTGTCAAAATACAATCATTGTAGGCGCGAAAAACAAACCAACCATCGAAAACATGGGTGATAACTTCCGAAATTTAACCAAAATGGATTCGATAAACCTTTTTTGTGTGTGATCACAACATGAAAGGTACTCATCTGTTGCACCATGCATACTAAGCTGACGTGCTAGGTGGCATTTTGCAGTCAGGGTACACGACTTCAGAAAGAACCAGTTGCTTCAAAGATGCACGCGATGCGTGCCCAAATTTTATCTCCATAATAATACACACCTACAATGACGTCTATAGTGCAATTACCGCCACCAACAAATACACGTACCCGCTTGCACTCCTGTACGAAAGCAATTTGTTTGGCTGTGAAATACCAACGCTCCCTTGTTTTATATCCGTTGGTACAATCAGCAATTATTTTTAAGCGACTCTAGCGAAAAAAATTGATTGGTTTTTTGTTGTTCTCGGACCAACAGTTGACCGTACTTTCATCACTATAGGGGTCATCGAACCCCCGAATCCCCAATCACGTAACCCCCAATAATACATTCAGTCAATTACAGTCAATGGCATCGGTATAAACGCTTTTCTTTTGTGAACTAAAATAGGAAGAAGAGTTGTTCTTACCCCTTCCTTGGACCACCTTGACCTCTCTGGCGGGTCCAGAGGGAGGGAGCGTAACGGGGCCATCCGCCTCCGCCCCCTCCCCCGCAAGCCGGTGTCAATGTGTTATATTATCATTATTAAAGGGAAGATACAACATTTGCAGACATAAATTTTTTTTTATCAAATTACTACGAAATTCTTTGCTGAACTGCTAGGGAAGGACAGTCTAAAGCATCCCGTACAATCATGGCTCCTGATGTGCTGACATTTTTAAGTAAAGTGGTATTTTGTATCGATTTCCAACGCTGGTCGGCCGACCCGATGTTGGAGAAAACTGGGGTTTTTTCAATATCTGCTCCTTATTTTTCATATTTAATTATTCCGCATTTTCTATGTAATTGAAGGGATACAATCCAGCTAGGCTTATTCTCTGACCTTATAATTCCCCAACGTCAATAAATTGCTTCGTGTCAGGGAACTAGACTACAAGAACATGATTGGTTTTCTTGGTGTCTCCAGCATCTACGAACCCAAAACGTGAAACAAGATAGTGTAAACATATTTGCTTTAACATGTTATTCCTCCAAATCCATTTATTTCTGACAATTACAGCAATAGCAAACGTTGTACATTCCCTTTAAACCAGAAGAGATGTGAAAAGCAGTGTTTTAAATCGATACCACTCATCCCTTTCCCTTTTCGATTTGGTGAAATATTAACAGAATGAAAGAAAACAATGGGAAAAGAGCGTCCATATAACATTATGTCCACCCGTTCCCCCTCTCGCGTTCTCATCTGCCATTGCCGGTCGGCCACTCCCCCCCCCCCCCACCCCCTTCGAAAATTTAGTTCTGGAACCGCCGATATAATCCAGAACAGGGTGAGTAATAAAACAACGAAACGCAGATGTCGGGACTATTGTTTTAGTGAAGTTCTGCATGAAACACTTTCAAAATCTTGGCTATAAAAGTCCAATTCATAAGCTTTTTTTTAGTACAAGAATCACTCAAATCACTCATGTACTTTTTAAATTAATGAATTTTAAACACAACCACCGTTTTAAAGTTCTGTCCACGGATCAGAAACTTTGGTGTGCGTTCTTTCCTTTTGTGATCCGTGGACAGAACTTAAAAATGGTGGTTGTGTTTAAAATTCCGTAACTTAAAAATTACATAAGTGACTTGAATGATTCTTGTACTAAAAGCAAGCTTATGAGTTAGGCTTTCATGTCCCAGATTTTGAAAGTGCTACATGCAGAATTTCACTAAAACAATTCTCCCGACATTTGGGTTTCGGTGGGTTTTTTACTAACCCTGTACAGCGTCATTTCCTGCCCCCATTAAGATGTAAAAGTTCGAGACTAAAATCTGCAGGGTAAACCTTTTACCTTAGCTGAAAGGCCCGAGCTTAAAGCGGAGATTGGACACACTATACCTTTGGTATGCGTGTTATTTATATACCGTTTTCTCGTTGAACTATACGGGTGAAGCAACAGATGTTAAAACCCGTCATTTGGTATTCAAAAAGTTTACGTAAACACAATTTGAAATGCAACTTTCGCTTTTATTTTGTCAATCATTGTTTGGCAGCGAATTCTGACGCAATTCAAACTTCCACTTTTGCTACTGCTGCCTTTTTTTGTTTTTGCCGGCCGCCGCCATTGTGAAAGTGAAAGAATCAAACAAACATAATACACTTTCCATTTCAGACGAAGCGATCCCCGCTTCGTCAACACGATATAGAAAGCGAGTAATCGATTAACGGTTTAAGTTCTTTTAGTTTTTGTTTTGTTTTGTGTTTTGTTTTGTTTGTTTGGTGGTGTTTTTTGTGTGAAATCAGAAAACAAATGCCTTATTTCAAAGTTGTTTAAATGTAACCCATCAAAGATGTAGTCTTACACTTAAATACGATTTTCAGCAAAATGGAAAAGTGGGGATTGTTTTGAGGATTGGACGTGATGATTCACAATGAACTTTAAAGGGAAGATACAACATTTGCAAACATCAAAAAACGAAATGATCAAATTATCACAAATACCTTACTGAATTGTTAGGTATTGACAGTTTAAAGCATCCTGTAAAATCGTGGCTCCTGGTGTGCTGACATTTTCAAGAAAAACTGTATTTTTCCAACGCTGGTCGGCCGACCAGCGCTGGAAAAACTGGCTTTTTTTCAAAAACGGCTCCTATTTTTCTTATTTGGTTATTCCGCATTTTCTTCGCGATAGATTACACACCTGCGAAGGGGTACAAACCTGCTAGAGTGATTCTTTGTCCTTACAATTCCCCAAAATCTTTACGTTTCTCCGTTTCATCTTAAGTGGGGTTGGGGAACTAGACTACAAGAAAATGATTGGTTTTCCTGGTTTTTCCAGCATAAACAAGCCCAAAACCGGCGTGAAACAAGTCAGTTTAACAATATTTGCTATAACATACTAATCCTCCAAATCCATTTATTTCTAAAAATTGCAGCAAAACCAAATGTTGTATATTCCCTTTAAAACACGTTATACACGTTGACAATCAAATCACCAAGTACACGATCTAAATCCATTAACTTGCTATTGCGTGATCGAATCAGAATAAAGGAGACAGCCGTCCCTCCCATGGTCTACTATCATCTCGAGGTTGAGAGTAGACCCTGTGAACGAGGTTTTGGATGAACGTAATCATGTTTGTCTGGTTTTTATAAATAGTAGGCTGAAGCTAAGTAAGGTTCCGGGTGTTTCAATTATTTTCGGTCCCTTCAGGCTATAATTGTTAAAGATACGTAGGAACATTTGATATTATACCCGGAAACGTACCTATACTGTTTTAACGAGAAAATTCTTGCTCAAAGTGGAGATAAG